GGGCCACTGTTTCCTGGATTATCCTAAAAGCTTCCGAGGCCGTGAGGACTTGGCAGCATCCCTGCCCGAGTCTCTCACCTCCCCCTCTGGCTCTGACTGTTGCCTCCTTTATAAAGCCTGGCTCTTCCATCACCCCTACTTGCCCCTCACTGCCGCTGCCAGCTCTGGGCTCCATGGACTGGTAAGAGGGGCTGTTCCCTGTCCAGTTCAGGGGACAAGGTGATCAGGTCTCCACTCTAAATTGGGGGACATTGAGAAGGGGTTGGAAGTCTTGATTCTCTCTGACTTGGGGAGGGGAATATAGGAGGGAGGTCTTGAAGGAGTCTGCATGGAGAACAAAAGAGAATTCCTTGGAGCTGTTTGAACTGGGGCTGAGATCTGAGAGGGAAGTGGAGTGGGGATTCACCAGTTAATAGATAACTGGGGACTTCATTCTGTTCTGAGAAAAAAGATGGGCTAATATAACAGACATACAGGGCACACACTCGCTACATGGAAGTTTACACATGATGGAACACCTGCAGAAGTTGTAAGGGAGAAACCACTGAATGTCTTGTGGGGAACACCCTTTATGATGGGGAAGAGAGGACAGATACCTCACATTCAAGCCCCAAAGGTACACACAGGCATGATGCACATGCACACATTTGTAGATACACACACACAGACACACACACCAACATAAAAATGTGCTATCCTCAGCTGGGCTCATCTTTCAGACTGCAAGTGGATGTGGATTCTCAGGACATTTGTGTTTATAATAGAATTAGTGCCCCAAGTAGTGCTTGGCTCTGGTTAGACTCTCAGTTAGTGACTGTTCAATGAATAAAGGATAAATGAAAGAAAACCATTTGGCTCAAGCTCTGGACCCTCTCCAGTCTCCCAGGAGCCTGGGGGAGAGTGGAGGAGAGGAGGGGACATGAGGAATGCATTGGTTTCTGTGATCACCAACTTGCAGTTGGCTGAGCGCAACCTGGAGGTAGAGTTGGGGGTAGAGAAGTGTGAGCAATGAGGAAGCCAGAACTCAGGAGACTGGGCTTCTGGTCCCTGCTCTGCTTCTAACTCGTGATGTGACTGAGCTACTCGCCTCCCTGTTCTGGGGTTAACTTCCCTACTAGCAAAACAAGGGCTTGCACTAGACAGTATTTATGGGCATACTAGCTTTGCTATATTCATAGTGCCATCTCCACGGAGGGACAGTTGAGGTTTGAAAGGGACCACAGCAATCCAATCCAAGATGGGACTAATTTGTCCTATTACACTCAGGATCATGATGGCTTTGATCTGGGGGAAAGTTTAAGAATATCCTCCTCTCATCCTCTCCTCCTTCAGGATCTGGGGAGCCAGACCACCAGGGCTATCACTGCTGCCATAGCGAGGCTGGATGGAACAGCAGGCAGGACATGTGCTTTGGACTCAGTTTCCTTCTCTGTCTCTTAATAGTTCTGCAGTCTTGGGCAGGTCATTTAACTTCTTTCATCCCTGGCTTCCTCATCTGTACAATGGTGGTGATGGGCAGATAATAATAACTACATGGCTGTACGCTCCTGAGAGTTAGAGATATCTGTGTAAAGCACCTGGAACATAGTATGCGTCCAATAAATAAGTCCTGTTTATGATGGAGATGAACAGTTCTGCTCCAGGTACACAGTGTTGACTATAAATGAGGCACAAGAAGGAGACGGGTGGCAAAATGGGAGATGGACACTTGTAGCAAAATCTGTCTGTTGAGGGGAATGAGGGAAAGGAAATGACCCAAGTCCTGGGCAGATCTCAGTGGGCTGCGTGGTTCAACTTTGAGGTGAGATAAGAACATGGCAGTGGGCAGTGGTGATCTTGGCAGTTATGTCAGCATAAGACCATGGGCACCATTCAGTAAGGAAATATCCAGTAAGTGGGAAATTGAAAGAGCTGGAGTCAAAGGAAACAAAAAAAGAGGGGGATCTGGAAGAAAGAAAGTGCCCTGAATCAGCAAACCTAGGCAGGGCAGAAAATCAGAACTGCTGAATTTTCTGAGACACTGCATTACTGCTGAATTTCATGCTGGTGAGTCCCAGGCAGATGGAGGGTCTCTGCTTCTGGGAAACCCAGGTGGCTGTGCGTTAGGACGAGGTGGGGTTAAAGGGGGCCTGGGATGAAAGTAGGGTGGGATGTCTACTGTTCAGGGGCTGGATCCCTTTCCCTGTTGCTTTCCAGGGAAAGATGGAAGGAGCTAGGAAGACAAGACAATCGGGTGCCTATAAATAAATGGAAGGGGGGAATTTCTTTTCCCACCCAGAGTCAGATCCCTGTGCACCTTAAGAGCAGCCACTTCGGAAACAGCCAGAGGCCAGCAAGCTGCAGGGAGGAGGAGGCAGAGAATGCCTAGGGGTCAAATCAGACTTAACCCAGGAATCCAAGTTGCAGGTTCTGTGATAACCGTGAGCCTCTAACTCTGTCCTGGAGGTCGCTGTGAACTGAGGTGCAAACCCAGCTAAGTCAAGATTTGTAGGCTGAGTGCATGGAGATAAAACCATGTGGAAGAGAGGATTGTCAGTTTAGCCATGGCCACAAAAACCCAGAACCGTTCCTAAGAATCTACATCTCAGGGGCCCAAGAGCTGGAAAGGAAATCCGCCTGATCAGAAAGTACGATCTCTGACATCTGGGAGGAGACTCGCGGCTTCCTAAGTGCCCGCCCTTTACCCCGCAGGGCGGCTGCTCTAACCGTATTTCACCCAGGAGGAAACTGAGGCTCACAGCAACCTGACCTGCCAGATGAGCTTAGCAAGGCAGGGCTGGAGCTAGAATTTAGGTCTGTCAACTTCTAGTCCAAAGATCTTTGTGAATATACCTTATTCCAACAAACATTTTCTGGGAACCAACTTATTTAATAATTGTAACACTACCAACTATAACTTTGATTTGCTATGAGCTTACTAGGGGCCCCACTGAGCTAGAGGTTTTAAAAACATCAATTCCTTTAAGCCCCAGGAAACCCTCCCGATTTGTATCCAGGTTGCCCATACGAGGAAACTGAGTCTTACAAAAGAGGGATTTGCACAGATAACTCACACACTGTTTCTGGATATGAGAATGTGTATGTTTAGGGGCAAAATGATCGATTTTCAACTGGCTTGTGGACTTAATTTAGCAGCACTTCGAATTCGGGAGAGGTAAACCAAGGGTGGTGGAATAGCGGCTGTACAGCCCAAATTGAATCAGCCTAAATTCCGCTCTGGTTGTACGAAATACAGCTGTAAAGACAAAAACGAAATATAAAAAGCAGACGGCAGAGCGCATAGGGAAAGTCAACAGGCGCAACGAAAAAAATTAGGAAGTTGATCAGAATTCCCCACTCAAGAAAAGGGTCACGTCTAGAGGTCAAAGCGGAGGGTACACGAGGCACCCAACAGGGAAAGGAGCTTCGTATCCGGGACCACAGGCCAGCCCGGCGGGGAGGAGAAGAGACCCGCGCTGGGTATCTCAGCCAACTCGGATCTTGAGAGATGTTTTTAGGTGGGCGCCGCGAAAGCCCTGAAATTCTGCAGAGGGTTGCACTGTGCGTGTGCATTTATTTTTCTCAAAGGAATCCAAGACCCTTCCCCAAATTTATTAACCTTGGGTTTACTCATTCAGGTGAGAATCAGGAGGGACTGGTGGCAATGGGTCCCTCAAATCTTTGCAGAAGTGACCTTTCCCACTGCTATCCGGGCACCTGCCCTAACTTTCAGGGTCGGGTGCGCCGGGGAGCTGGCTGAGCACCACTGGGTCCCAGAGGGCGCAGGCATTTTTGAGAGGCGGACCTGGGAGGCGCCGGGGTTGCTCCGCAAGGGTAGATGGAGAATGAGAACTAAGGGGGCAGGCAGAGATGGGCCAGTGGAGTGGGGAGAAGGGAGAAGGTTACCTCCCCCCCAAAAAAGATGAGTGGCCGGAAAAGGAGAGCAGGAAGGCAAGAGAGAGCAAAGGACTCGGGAAGCTGGTGGTGGTGGTAAGAAGCGGCGGGGGGAATGGGAGGGGGAGCAGCGTTCGAGGAACACTTCTGCCCAAGCCTTGGAGTGGACCGGACCCACACTTGGGGCTCAATCCATCTTTTCTCTCAGTTCCGGGGTATTGCTGCCCGTCCAGGGAGGGTGGGTGGAGAGCCTTCGAGGCAAATTGCGCCCTAGGGTGACTCGTTATCACCCCCCAGAACCCGCCCCCTCCTCCATTCCCCCAGGGTCTGAGTCCAGCGTCCTCGCCAGAGCCAGCCAGCTCGTGGGCAGTTTTCCACCCCAGGGGGGGCCCGCAGGCCCTGGGAAACACTCCGCCCAGGCCCCTCGCCCCGGCAGTGGAGGGGCCAGGGAGGAGCGAGGGAGGGGGCGGGGTGCGACCTAGTTAGCTATCCCTCCCCACTCCCCGCAGGCCCGGCCCCGCTGGGCCTCCGGTCTGGCCGAGCCTGCAAGGGTTAAAGGAGGCCGCAGGTGAGGTGGGCGGGGCCGCGAATTCGGGGAAAAAGGAGCCCAGCGCCGAGGATGAAGGCAGAGAGCGCGGTGAGTCACGGGCGGAGCTGGCCTCGCTCGCTTGCTCACCGGCTCCCGCCCGCCCTCCACTCTCCACCCTCCACCCTCCTGCGGCCTCTCTCCGCCCCTCCTCCGCCGCCCGCCGCCGGGTCTGGTCGCGGCCCCCGCTGGTCCTCGGCTTCAGCCCCTCACCGCTGGAGAGCCCGGCCGCCGCGCGGGGCCCCAAGACGTGTGGGTCGGTAGCGCGCCAGTCCGCGGTGCCCCGAAGCCCGAGCGCAGCCTCGAGGTAGGAGCCCGGGTCG